GGATTTGACAAATTCCAGAGGTTATGCTATGATTTGAAATCCTTAGTTTTGGGCTTAAAATCATCCATATAAAATACATAGATTTCAAATACCACTTTAAAAAGAAAACCCAAACTGGAGATTTGGATTTAGGCCACCTTGTATTTCAAATCAGGGCCCAAATCAATGTTTCCAAACATAACCTAAAGTAAATAGGTCCACTTGTAGACTGATTTTTACTAATCAACAAAACAGTTTATAATTGGACTTGGTTCAAAGCTGGTCCAGCTTTAGAGAGTTGCCAAATACACCTTAGAGTTTAGAGCTTAATGAAAACGCCGCAAGTCCTTATGACTTGACCATAAATTAAATGGAAGGCTAATACAACAAGACATTGTGGTGTTCATTGTTTTAAATATCACTGGTATAGTTGATATATTCGTCGATATATTCTTTTATAAGGCTTTCTATGAAATGATATGGTCTTAATAGCCTTTATTGTATTTTGACAATTTTTGGGCGAAATCCCCGACGTGGTGATATATGTTGGCTGATTTGTCCTTTTATATAGTTTGTCGCAAAAAATACCCCTTTTGACAATATTTGGGTGATATATCATGATTTTCCTCCCAATACCTGAGGTTATATTTTGGCCTCAAACTCATCTGCCAAAATGTCGGTATGTCACTTTTATTTGTTCTAGAAGAATGATTTAGATTTACTGTACAATTGAGTGCTTGACAATCAGCCTCTTCCATTGCATTTGCCATTTTATATATATCGTTCTCTTTGTCATGTTTTCACCTTCTTTGCATGCTTTCCAAATTTCCATCTCTTCTCTAAAACGTGCATCTCATGCAAGTTAAAATAGAATAAAAGACTATAGAAGGGACAAAAGCAAAGCAGATGACATTGAAAACTGCATAGATAACAGGGAGTTTTTAGGCTTAGGCTTAATTATGTCTAAGATATCGATAAAATCAATAAACGTAAATAAAAGGAAAACTCTTTGTCCCAAGATCAATCTCCTAATGCTACTATAGGATCTTCTTATACTATCTTAGATATAACAATAAACGAAAATAAAAGCAAAATACATGGAAATTCTTTCTTGTATTTATTAGACATGAGATTACTTAAGAATTTAGATCTCTTTAATATGTGATTCATCCCATTGAAATCAAATTCTTAAGTTGACAACATATACATTGTTTAAAACATTCATAAAAATAATTCATGATGAGACAAACATTCCTCAAAAGATGCGACTTAATTTTCCTTTTAAAAAGATGCAACTTAATTTTCCCTTTTTATTTGATGCTCCATAACTCATATTTCAGAATGGAAATAGTGGGTTCGGTCCTGTAGTGTCTCCAAACATGAACTCAGAAATCGTATCAAGTACAATAATTATGTAGTATTTAAACAAAGAGAAGTCTACAACAAGAAGTTTTCTTGGGAGATAAATGCTAAAATTATTATTCAGGTTAAGAAGCATTTTCTTCAGGTTATAGTATAACTGGCTGATATGAAATCAACTAGTTCTGTTAGCTATTATGTAAAAGAATTAGATTTGTGAACCGGCACAACAAATCAAGTAGCAGTTCAGATATCTGTTAGTTTTAGGCATGAATGAGAATAAATGTCATTTCGGGTATGTTTGACATACTAATTATTTGATGAGGAACTGTCCAACTTATGGTAGGGTATAACTGGTTGATATGAAATTAAAGGATCGGGTAAATATGGTAGTGACCAGAAGCAAGGTTTTAAATGTCGGCCGACATGTCCGACATGTCGGCCGACATATCGGTTTGAGGGCTTGAGCGACACGACATGAACGTTTTCAACTCATATATCGATTTTCAGGGCCAAATTGAAAATATCGGGGTCATATCGGGCATATCGACCGATTTTTTAGCCTTGGAAAATCGACTGATATGACCCTTTTTTTAGATCTGTTTTTTGTTATCGGGTTCGGGTTTAGTGATAAAAACCCAAACTCGTTTAACCCGTTCTCATGTTTAAGGGTTTCTTATGAAACCGATAGAAAAAAGAGAAAAATTAGGGCTACGACGGACTTGGGAAACGATCACTCCTTTCGTGAACGACGACGTCATTCCCCTACCTCCATCTCGGACCCCCGTCGTTCATCTCCTGTTGCGCCCCGAAATCTGAACTCCAACCAAACCCGAGGGTGGTAGGGTATCCCGTCGTCGGGATAAAGGGAAGAGAGTGGTCGGTGACTCATCCGAAGGACCACAAACAGACGAAGAAGAAGAAGAGCCCCGACACTGTCTCTCCGCAACGTCTCGTCACCGACACTGCCTCCCTGTGACGTCTCGTGGCCGACACTGCCTCCCTGCGACGTCAGAATCCACCCATCGCCGACGCCACCTCTAGAATTTATAAAGTATGCTTATATTGAATTTAGGAATACTTAGATTACATTTAGGATATAATATTATACATATGCGCACCACACGATATGGCAATCCGATATTTAGTCCATGTCCCCCGATATATCTCCGATTTCCGCTATCCGACATGGATTTTAACTATCCGACATGAACCCGACATCCGACATTTAAAACGTTGACCAGAAGATACGATGGAGAACCTAACCAAAACATCTCCAAAAGGTAGATATGGTAGTAACCAGAAGATATCATGGACAACCTAACCAAAACATCTCCAAAAAGACAGAAGTTTAGTGGCAAAACCAGGGTATTGTTTTACTAATAAATTATAATAAAATAAGTACTACATGACAAAGATCCCAAAAAGGAAGAGCTAAAGCAGTTTCCACAATATGTTCGAATTTGGAATGCATTTGCAAATTGCAGCAAGTTAACAATATTATTATAATTATTTGATGCATTCAAATTTAATTTTCTTATGAACTATATTTATTTGCTTCGTTAAGTTCATTGTCATGTCACACACGTCAGTGATAGCCCAGCCAGACTTTTAATGTCCATAAAAGATGAAAAAGAAACAAAGGTGGGGAAAGGGGGAACATATTGTGGATTTGAATGGGGGTGAGATAGAGCTAAAGGTGGGCAAATCCTATTAAGAATGTGAATACTTGCAGAAGTTCGCTGCAGAAATCACCACTTGGCAACTGGATTGACCTGTTCGCTTCAGCACCAGTGACTTGTTCTAATGTAAGAGACTGCAGCAAAGGGAACTGAAGTACTTTACCAAGAAGGTTGAAGCTTTCTTTGGATAGTCAGGTCAAGGCTTTATTAAATTGTAATGGATCGGTTATAGATAGGTTAAATGAAGAAGTGCTGGCACAATGATAAAGATGGGTGAAGCTTGCTTCTGCTTGCAGTGATACTCTTCTGTCTGTTTCAAGAGTTTGAGACTGGCTGACCCTTAATTTATCCACTTAAGCTGCTATGACAGCAGCCCAACTGATTAAAACGGCATATGAAACCACTTCAAGCACGTTATGAAACGATCATTGCCGTAGAACTTTCTAAAATTTTGTTTTCTATTCTGAAATTCACAAGCCGAGGAGGTATTTTGTATTTGTTTGTTTATGAATTTTTTTTTTCTAATTCATGGGATACATATTTTTGGTCTCTACCTTGTCTCTAAGCTCTTGATAATCATCGGTGTTCTTTGGCTCCTATTATGGTGCTCATGATGTATTAGTTATGAACTAGTAACTTTGTTTTCTGATTAACGAGACATTTGAACCTCCATATCTGATTCCAGTAAGCGTATCTTACATATGTTAATGTGTCACATCTTTTCTAGTCGTGTCTGTTATATACGATGCTAACAAGTGTTTATAGATATAATTGTTAGCATCAGTTTCAGCGAAATCAAGTTTCTCATGAGGTATTGATAAATGAATTAAACAATAGACCGTGAATACAGGTTGGAAGAAGTATTTGTTTGCACGTGATCGATCAATGCATTTATTTTGGATGCTGAATGTGGTTTTATATCCGCAGATGCTGTGCAACTTGGAGCCTGTTGAATGTTGAATCAATGTCTGTGGTTGTTTAACTAAGGAACTTGAGGAAACTGCAAAATGTGTATTGCTTCCATTTTATCTGATGTTATAGAAATGTTAACGAAACAAAAATGCATGCAAGTGAACAAACACATACCACCCAGTAGATAGCCTGTATGATACCTAAGGAACATGTGTGAAATGCCAAATTATGATATTAACTATATGAGTCTTTGTTGGATTTTGTTTTGTTCTCTCTCAGCTTTGGGCTTTTCTGATGCCTCCTCTCAAATACTTATTGTATACTTTTCCATATGCTGATTGCTTATCCGTTTCTTTCAACTCAGTAAAATATATAGCGGATGGCATTAGCAGAAAGGATATGAAATGCATGCATGCAGTTCTGGCTTTTGGGAGTTTTCTGGGGTGGGAATATTGTTCTGTTATGGAGTGATATAAGTATTATGTGAATGCCTAAGTTAGCTGGACACTTCATCCAGGCGCTTGTTTCCATATGTGACACTTACACGTATCCGTGTTCGTGTCTGACACTCATTGGACGCTTCTTGAATATGTACATGCTTAAATATATAATACATACTTTAGTTTAAGACACTCATGATGCACTTCTTGGGACATATATCTTCCACTTCACCTCAACTTTATGCAACTCGTTGGACTTGGGTTGGGTTCATTTCAGCCATACCGAGTTCATAAGTGTGATTTTAAAGAGTCGTTTGGGTATCTTGTTTAAAAATGAGCATGTTTCCAATTTATATCTAATCAACAAAGGAAACATAAAAATGTTATAGCACTTCGCATAACATGTGAATGGAAAATAATATTGGTCTTACATAATTTATTACAATATGTATATGCACAGTCATGTCTCTATATCCTACCTTTTATAAATTTGTCGTGTCCCGTGTCCGCATTCGTGTCCGCACCTGCAGCTTGGCAGTCGTATCCCTGCAACATAGATGAATGCTATATTAATGAAAATACAAGGTTTATTCTGAATAATGCTGATGGTTATGGGTCAATTTCACAGATATTTCTCATGTCGTCATTGGGATCTGAAGGTTCTAGCTTCCAGATATTACATCAAGTTCCTGAAGGCCATGTTGGTTGTTACTGGAGGGGTGGTGCTCTTTTGAATCAGATCACTGATCCAGGTATGCTTTCATTGGGGAAAAAAACAACTGTTCTTGTGTTTATCTGAAATATGGACATCTTGTTTTGGACTTTGTTTGCCAGGTTTCCATCTGAAGTTGCCACTGATAACCCAGTTTGAGCCCATTCAAGTGACTCTTCAGACAGATCTGGTAAATGATTAATAATTTATACCCATCTTTTATCTGGGCTAGGACCGATGGTTTTATCATCTAGCAAATACTAGGTTAAAGATTGAAAATAAATGATCAAAAGAGCAATTAGAAATCATAATCCTATTCTAGTGGTTACTTATTCCATTAAATTACATTCCTTGTTTCTCTGAGTTTCTCTGTTCTTCAAACATTTTATCTATTGAAACTGTATTAAAATTTCAGAAGTATGGCCAAGTCAAGGTTTTAAATGTCGGGTGTCTTGTTCATGTCGGATGGCTGAAATCCATATCGGATAGTGGAAATCGGGGATATATCAGGGGACATTGACTAAATATCGGATTGCCATATCGGGTAGTGCGCATATGTATAATATCATGTCCTAAATGTAAATATCGGATTGCCATATCGGGTAGTGCGCATATGTATAATATCATGTCCTAAATGTAATCTAAGCATTCATAAATTCAATATAAGCATACTTTATAAATTCTATAAACTAAACATATAAAAAAGTAAATAATATATGGATTTAGGTTCATAAATTCTTTCTATCGGGTTCATAAGAAACCCTTGAACTTGAGAACGGGTCAAACGGGTTTGGGTATTTATCACTAAACCCAAACCCGATAACAAAAAACAGATCTTAAAAAAAAGTACCATATCAGACGATTTTCAAAGCTAAAAAATAGGACGATATGCCCGATATGACCCTGATATTTTCGATTTGGCCCTGAAAAACCGACATACGAGTTGAAAACATCCATGTCGTGTCGGTCAAGCCCTCAAACCGATATGTCGCCCGACATGTCAGACATGTCGGCTGGCATTTAAAACCTTGGGCCAAGTCTGTTTTCGCTCTTACTATATTTAGTAATTTTGTTTTTCCATTTTGGCAATCAGGTGAGGGATATTCCATGTGGTACTAAAGGTGGCGTGATGATCAGCTTTGATAAGATAGAGGTATGTAATTGATATGTATGCTCTTTTTATTGATGCCCCTTTTATGCTTGTATTGATATCCTTTCTAAACTTCAAATAGGTAGTGAATCGCCTTCGCAAGGAGCATGTTTATGAGACATTGCTAAACTATGGCATAAACTATGACAAGACATGGATATATGATAAGATTCATCATGAGATTAACCAGTTCTGCAGTGCTCATACTATGCAACAAGTTTACATTGACATGTTTGATCAGGTAAGTAGATTCCTTTCACTCTGGATATGAACCTGGTTGCTCATCCGACCTGATAAACAGTTTGCCCTGATTTCCACTGATGTTAATGTTTCAGATTGATGACAAAATGAAGGAGGCCATCCAAAATGACTGCACAAAGTATGCTCCAGGGATTGAGATTATCAATGTTCGTGTTACAAAACCAAATATACCACATAGCATTAAGAGGAACTTCGAGCAAATGGAGGAAGAAAGAACAAAAGTATGATTTCTTATCTTTACTTGCTTGGGGATTTTTCCATTAGCATGCGCAATCTGTTAATTATTACCAGTATATAGGTTTAATGGGATAATTTTTTTATATTGAATAAGTTAGCAATTTGATCTTGCCAGGATTGCAATGCTATGCAGATATATTCATCTTCTCTTCTAAGAATTGGAGGAGACTTGGTTACATTTATAGTCTCCATTTGTTGTTTGCAGGCTTTAATTGCTATCGAAAAGCAGAAAGTATCAGAGAAAGAGGCGGAAACATTGAAGAAGATAGCATTATCAGAAGCTGAGAAAAATGCTCAGGTCAGTAGGATACTGATGGAACAGAGGCTGACGGAGAAAGACAGTTCCAAGAGGCAGCAGGAGATTGAGAATGAAATGTATTTGGCAAGAGAGAAGAGTCAGGCAGACGCTAACTATTATAGGTAGACAAATTTCTCTTCCCAATTCTTAGCATCTTTTGTATTACTTGTTACTGGTCTCTATGTTCTTTTCAGAGTGATGAGAGAAGCAGAAGCAAATAGACTGAAGCTCACACCTGAATTTCTCGAGCTCAAATTCATTGAAAGCATTGCGAATAATTCAAAGATCTTCTTTGGAGAGAAGGTAATAACCAGTAGGTCATTGCCCCCGAAGTCTTGGTACTTTTCTTTCAATTTATGGGGACTTTAAATATTGGTTGAAAACTTTATGCAGGTGCCAAATATGATACTTGATCAGAGGCTGCTTGGAAATTTTCTTCGGGGTGCTGCCAAGTTAGAGCATACAGAGATGTAGTTAGGGATTGGCAAGCCACACGATTGATTACACTGGAATATGTTAAAAATACGTGACACCCGGCCTTGCTTTTGCAATTTTGCTTTGCCCAATTTTGGGTTGGTTTGAAAATTCAGATGCTAGTCGTTCTTGCTGATTTCTGCTAAGTCTCATTTACATAAGCATCTTTTATCTACCCTGGACTTTTTGTTGTTATGATGAAATTGAGATATTCTTTCATCGATTGACACTGTTGAGAGATACTATAGATAGAGATTTTTTTTTTGCTGTTTGTACATAGAGATATTGAATAATTAACTCATGTGGTGTTCTACTCTTGTTTAGATTACCGTGTATAAATCAAACAATTATATTTGTTCTCAAGTCCGAATTCACTCGTATTATGTTTGGCTGTGCCATAGACACTCACGCTTCTTCGGAAAGTATTCCTCCTGGTTTGTTTTTGACTAAAGATTTGTTTGTAGTTTTCACTTAGGGGCTGTTTGGTTGGTTTCCTAAAAACCAAGAAAAGGAAATCGGTACAAGGAAATCAATAAAATAATATTTTTATCCATTTCCATCCCTAAAACTCACCCACAACATTCAATAAAATATTATTTTTATCCTCCAACTCATCTCATTTCATCTCCTTTCTTACCTTTAAAAATAAACCAAACACAAGAAATGTGTCACATCATCCAACTCATCACATCTCATTTTATCTCATTTTTAAAAATCACACACATCATCCAATAATATTGTGACAACTCATCTCATCTCATTAAACATTCATTTCCACCCATTTCCTAAAAAAAAAACAAGAAATTAATTTTCTTAAGTACATGTCACATCATCCAATAATATACCTCCAACTCATCTCATCTCATCTATTTTCTTATTTTTAAAAACGAACCAAACACAAACAACCTCAAAACATCATCCAATAATATACCTCCAATTCATTTCCTTATTTTTTTAACCAACCAAACAACCTCAAAACAAGTTTTTAAAAAAATCACTCACATCATCCAATAATAAGGTGACAACTAATCTCATCTCATCTCCTATTCTATAATTTCCTTTTTTTTTAACCAACCAAACAACTTCAAAGTAATTATAATAGGAAATAGGTTTCCTAAAGTTTGATTTCCTAGTTTTTTTGCCAAACGAACAGGCCCTATGGGAATATAAAGATTCGAGCAGTTTCAGAGGAACTGAGACCAAGCTTATGTCACACAAACTCTTTTTCAGCATTGCATTCTATTGATGACTCGAGAAATTATGCTTTTGTGGTCCTATGCGTTTATAGTTGGCAGTCTTGGATAATAAGAAATAATTAGAAGTAACCAAAAAAGAGTCATGCACATCTCTCTTTGATTTCATCAATGTACATAAGTTAAACAACAGTGAATTTTAGCCAAGTTACCATGGTTTCTGCTAAAATGTTTATTGAGGTGTTTGTTATCGTCATTGTTGGAGATAGATACCTAAATAAGTGGGTAGATAATATCTTATTTTAAAGATATGATATTCATAATTCTAGTGAGTGTAGGATTCTACCTCTGAGTCCTTAGTAGATATATGGTTTTTCATGATGGGAGTGAAAGAGAGAGAGAGAGGATATACAACATAAACCTTCATATAACCGTCATCTCCTTTTCGGTTTGAATTTGTGCTATATGCGGTAGCCGCGGGTGATATGCGCGGACTTCTTGATGGGTGCACGGTGTGATCGCCCTCCGGACATTGATCAAGAAAGGCGTGACGATCCTATATGAACGATCCATTTGGTAAACTTGTTATAGGTGCATGTTAGAGTTCTAATTTTCCGCTGCGCATAATCTAGTTGTTAGTTATCCCTATTGCATAAGTGTAGTTCTCCGTATCCTACATTGATATCAGAGCCGAATCTAGGATCGTTCGTCGGTATCTTGATCGTGATTTTTGTCCCTAAAACAAAATAATTAGGACTTTTATATATTAAAAGATCATTTTTAATTAAAATTAAAAAGTTCTGGTGTAAAAATCCTATTTTTGACATCTGGGATGTTAAATTTGTAAAAATTCAATCTTTATGAATTATGGGTTTTTAATAAATTTGGGATTTATTAATCTTTGAAATAAAAAACCCTTTTTTAATTTTTTTAGAAATTAAAAATCCTAAAATTTAATAATTTTAAACTAGATCTAGCAAGTGTTGGTGCTAAAGGCATGGATGGCTACCGAATCCAGGGGCTGAAGCTCCAGCGTTAGGCTCCGGAGGCTTGCCACATGCCATCGCTGATGCCTAAAACACTAATCAGATCCTGCCACCGCTAGTGAAGGCAGGAGTTACAAAAAAAAATTGGATCTAATGAAGGCAGTTCTGATGTTAAGCATCTGTGGCTAAACTTAAAACACCATCAGCGCCGTGCATTGGCGATAATGTTTTTTTTAAAAGAAAAATGCATAAAAAGAAAAAGGGTTAAAGCTGGACGGGCTAGCGGGCAGTGGTAGTGCTGGGTTGCCGTTGCAAGCGGGGCTCTTAAGTGAAACCCGACTAGGAGTCGAGGCATCGCCACCCCCACCCCCTCAAACTTGACCCCCTAGGGTTTTGGAAACACTTTGTGTAGTTTGGTAAAAAGAGTTTTTTGTTTTTATTTTTTTGAATTTCAAATTTCTGAACAATAGTTTTTTAAATCAAAATTTTTTTTAAAAAGAGTGAATATTTCTAAAAATTCTGAGAAATTTTAAGAAAGTTTTTGTAACCTTTGAATTAGATTTCATAATAAAATTGTATTGGTATTGTCACAAAAATAATTTTTAGAATTTGAAAGTTTAGAAAAATTATTTTAAATATTGTTATTTATATAGTCCTAATGAAATTTTAGAGATTTTGATGGGTAGTTATTCTAGTGGAAGCCCCTGGGGGCCATAAGCAAGTTCACAAGAAACAAAAAAAACCCTAATAGAATTGACAAGTTAATAAGGATAGTTAAATAAAAAATTGTGAAATTTCTTGTTTATGTTTGTCATGCCGAAACATAAACAAGCCATTTCAAGTGGGAGATTTTGGATAGAAATGGTACTATGATTTGACTACCCAATCTAGTTTGTCTCTATGAAATATTATATTTCATTTTCAAAAATTTTATAACTATTTTAAATATCCTTGAACATTGTGGTGGGGTCCTATGCCTTCTTCTATCTATTTGGGATTATTATTGGTATAAAAGGCTTGATGAGATGAAATGTTCTTCCAAAAGAACACTACTCCATGTAAATGCCAAAAATCTTAATTGTGTCTGTAAATTTAGTGTCTTAGTCCTTCTCTTATTGATGTATCAATACAATATTCTGACTTTAGTTTAGGACTGATGGGTGGTAAATACTTCTACCAGAACATCTATATTCTCCTGAGAGTAGGAGATTTTGTCGAGTATTGAGGAGGTAAATTTTGAGTTAGAATAGGGTTCAACTCAAACCAAAAAACACGACCATTCAGTACAAGGTCTGGAAATAGAGAGATTGTTTAAGTGGTTCACTGGTCGAACTACAATAAGAGGTGATCTTATCGGGAAATTTGAGGACTATTTGAATGCAAAGGGCTTTAGGGATGTTCTTAATGCGAGATTCAAATATGTCTCTCCAATGAGAATCCGAGTTCTTATTATTAAGTTGGATTTAGAGGATATGTTTGCTGGGAAGAACATGAATTCATCTTTGAATATAACCTTGATGATCATGGATCATGAAATAGGTGAAACTATATTGTATTAGGAATGACAGATCCAAGTGATTATCAAGGCTTTTCATTGAAAGTACCCTAAGGAGGGGGAGTGAATAGGGTTATTGCTAATCTTATTAGATATTAATGCCGATTAAAATTAATTAACAAATATATCCTAACAATATTGATATTCAATTTGATATATGCAAGGATATATGAACAAGAGTAAATAAACAAGTGATAGGATATTCAATTTGATATATGCAAGGATATATGAACAAGAGTAAATAAACAAGTGATAGTGCGCAAATGATAAACACAAACACAAGATATGATCACGGAGTTTGGTCCCCACGACCTACGTCTCTGCTCCTCACCTCGAGAAGATCTCCACTATCACAACCGAGTTTTTTACGCTCACCCGAATAACGTTTACACCTCACACTATGGTTTTCTAGTTCACCGTAAACTTTACAATTCACACTCTTGCAATCATACTTTACACCCTCTAAGTGTTGGTCTCTAACTTATGTCTCCCTCAAGTGTTAGGAATTACAACCTACCTCTAGGCATTACCACCTACCCCACTCCTCTTGGGACGACGCCAACTCTAACCACACACTTCTCTCGGTGTACAAGTATATTACAAAGTATATCTCACAATTTGGCTCAATAACAATAAAATGTTCTCTATAATATGTGAGAACTCAATGTAAGCTCAATCTCACAAATCACAATCCCACAACCCAATATATAATGTGTGAAATCCTACAAGCTCAAATAGGGTGCATGTGATAAATGAGTATAAATAAAATCTAACTCAATTAGCAAACTAGCACAACATTACAAGCGGAACGGACTTAAACAATCCGCATGCTAGCCCGATTCAAACGGTAGTCGGTAAAGGCTCATCAAACCCGTTGATGACTGAGAGTTTGCCAAAAAATCCTATAAGTGTGAGAGTCATTGATGCACCAGCTTCATTAGTTGGTCTCGTGGCTTAAGGATCCAACAACTTCAGAATAAGATTCATACATGCAGATGAATCAGCTTTAATAGTTAGTCCTGTAGCTCCGACATTTGGGACCGCCACGCTCCAATGTCTTAAGAGTTTAAATTGTGTAAACTCTAGCAAATGTATGAGTATAAACTATGTTAATGCCGGTCAACGCGTTACAGAAAAGGTTAACGCCTGTCAACGCGTTACAGTAAAAGTCGAGGCCGGTCAACGTATCGACGATTTCGCCAAAATAAGGCTAAGAAAAAATTCTGGATTAAATGATGATTCCAAGGAGTTTAATTGTGATTCAGACATGAATTCCCGACGAAGATAATCAATTCAAAGTCAACTCAATGACACGAGCCAAAACTAACTCACCAATTCCAACTCAAGATTTCGACAACGGTCAGACGATAAACACAGGACTGGAAGAACTTCATCTATTCAACAAAACACTGAATAGGCTGAAGGCTGAAGAAGTCAAGAATTAAAGCCAGTTACAGGTCCTTTGACACCGACTGAATGTAGGGCCTATCACATCCAAAGTATTTTAGGTTCTTCTATAAAAGAATGAGGCTAAAACACTTTGGAGGGGGTATCTGTAGGCGTCTAAAAATGCCTATAGGTGTCCGTACACAGCTCGAGATGGAGAGAAGATGGCGAACGTTGTTATCTGAGTCAAAGAGGAT